CCCACCTTATCACCTGAATCTCCTCTTAGAGCACCATTGGGTTCTTTTTAATATCTGAGACCTATAATATATTGATGAAAACCATTATAGTAGGGGACCTTTAACACCAGATGTTTTTCCTCCGACTGTCTCCCCTCCTCAGATCAGCATCCCCCTGATCACAGCGTTCGGTGCGGACACAGAGGGAGCCCAGTGGATTGTGGGATATCTCCTGGAGAAGGTGATAAACAACCTGTCGGTGTGGAGCTCGGAGCCCGGGCTGGCCAACGACACCGTGGAGCTGCTGGTGACGCTGGTGGAGAAGAGGGAGAGGTGAGGAGGGAGAGGGGATGACGATGAGGGTTGATCCACGGGACGTTATAGATTTGTTGTTTCTAGTTAACATGTATCATGTAGCGCTGAGGATAACACACGTCACACATTTCAGCTCTCTAATGAAGTTATAAAAACATTCCACATTTTTGTTGGAAGGAAACACCTTAGAGCGTTAAGAGGGTCTATTTGTTCTTTCAGTGATAATCAAAACATCGATATCAACCAAATTTGATTGTGCCAAAAAAACTGTATTTATTTTCAATGGTGGAATTATTATGTTAAAATTGATCAAAACGTTTTAAACCAGTATTTCTGAGGTATTTTTGGTCTAATAATCCTCCTCCTCATCGTCCTCCTCCTCATCGTCCTCTTCCTCTTCCTCAGGGCTAACATCGTGGTTCAGTGTGAGGGTTGGTGGAGCTTGGCGAAGCAGTTTGCGAGCCGCAGCCCCCCCCTCCACCTGCTGTCCAGCCCCGTGCAGCGGACCCTGATGAAGGCTCTGGTCCTCGGGGGCTTCGCTCACATGGACTCTGACGCCAAGCAGCAATACTGGGCTGAGGTAATGTGTGTGTGTTAGTGTAACAGATAAGGCCGAACTAATTAGTTAATTAATGAAATAAAAAGAAACAGAAAAACATTATTCTTCAACTCTTTCAGTCAAAAGTCAAAGTCAACTTTATTGTCAATCTTCCAGTTTGTGTGTACAGACGGAGAGATCGAAATACCGTTTCCCACAATCCCCAATATAAAACAAATGTATATAAAAACATGTGTGCAAATATGTATATATATACACAGAATCAAAGACACATTTTTACATGTGCACACATTAAGACCTAAATAAAAACATAACAACCAATATATACAAAATAACAGTCACTTCAATATTTGAGAATGTGCATTGTGTTAGTGTAACAAACAAGGCCGAATTAATTAGTTAATTAATGAAATAAAAAGAAACAGAAAAACATTATTCTTCAACTATTTAGAAAAAACTGCCAAATTCAACTTTTCAAATGTAAACGGTCATTTTTTCAGATTATTATCAACATTTCAGGTGCGTTCACTTTCATGTGTGCCTCCAGATAAAGTGGCTACAACATCTGGTTTGTCTGACTGCTCTCTGTGGTGTGCCGGATCCAAACTATGCATGTATGTTATTATAAATAAAACAGGATCTAATAACCAAAACTAAGAAGATACGACGCGACTAGAACGAACATTTTAAGGTCTGATAATTAACAAAAATAACTCATCATTGCTTTAGTTTTTGTTGTCATTAAATCTCCTTAAAAACACACCTCAACAAAGTGTGTGATGTTGAGAGCTATGGAGCTCTGAGGATGAGGAGGATGAGGAGGAGTGATGGATGCAGTCCGTAATATTCCCCGTGGAGCCTTCCTCCCGCCTGTCGACCCTTTTTGTGATCCTGCAGGCCTTTTGTCTTAATAGGCTGACGGTAGTAAACGTGGGTGCAAAGCCACAATGACTCCAGAGTAATTATGGGGGTGGGGGGCGGGACGGCAGCTGTCGGCTCCTGCAGCTGCGTGTTTGAACTCGGATGGCTCTGGAGGAGGAGGAGGAGGAGGAGGAGGAGGAGGAGGAGATATGGAGCGGACAACTGATCAAACAGCCCTTATGTTACATCTCTGCAATCTCTATCTCTCCCTACATGCCCCGAGAAGTCACTCAGAGTTAGTTTGATTCGTTCAGGATGTCCCCACTGAGTTCAGATTATAAAACCGGTCTGTGCAAAGACTTCAATATTAAAACAACTTCAAAGCAGCTTCCTATAAATGGGTATTATTTATTTTCAGCAGGGATGAAAGAAGTACTGAGATCCTTGATTCAATCATAAAGTCAAAACTCCATGACCAGTACAAGCCCAGATTTCCAAACACTGTATGTGTTGTAAGTCAAAACAGAACCTAAGTAGACCACTTTATTTATGCAAACATTGCAAGTTTTGAAAATAAAATAAATAGTTCCATTAAATGTGAATTTACTGCAAGATAAAGTACAGATATGTTACTGTTTATCAAAGCTTATTTCTGTTGCCACCAAGTGTCCAAAACACTGTTTATTTAGCTTTAAAGTTATTCAATACATGCTACATTTGCATTCGCCTCACTACTAAACCTGTAACAACACTTCAACCCTTGTATGGTATTCGGGTCTGTGGGACCAGTTTTCATTATTTAGGCTAGGCAAGTTTATTTATAGCACCTTTCAGCACGCAACAATTCAAAGAAAAATGATATGATAAATTATTTTTTCAAACTCACACTCAATGGCCTTGGCTCATTTTCTGTGAAGAACATAGATTGACACTTACATTTCTACTTCAAATGTTTGGCGACGTATGTGCCACACGAATACATCTTATAGTCGTATATTAACCCCCCTGTTTCCCTCCAGATTAAAGAGGTCAATTACTAGATCGTAATTAAAAGACTATTTTGTTTGTTTTAATGGAGAACATTACTTGCAAATATTGTGGGGTAAGAAGTACAATATTTCCCTCTGAAATGTAATGTAGAATAAAGCACTATCAAATGAAAATACTCAAGTAAAGTATAAGTCAAAACTGAACCTACGTAAACCACTTAACAAACGTGAAATAGTCCCATTAAATGTGTCAACTTCCTGCAAAATATAATACAGATAGACGCTTCTTCAAATGTTAAGCGACATGACGAATATGATGAATGAAGTACAGTCAGTCCCATATGAACACATCTTACGGTCGTATATTAACCCCACTGTTTCCCCCCAGGTGCTCCACCCTCTGCAGCAGCGCTTCCTGAACCTCATCAACCAGGAGAACTTCGCTCAGATCAGCCAGCAGGAAGCCGTCAAACAGGAGATCATCGCCACGTTGGAGGCGCTGTGCGGCATCGCCGAGGCAACGCAGATCGACAACGTGGTGCAGCTCTTCTCCTTCCTCATGGACTTCCTGTCCAGCTGCATCGGACTCATGGAGGTAAGAGAAAGACGAAATAATAGGTGGCTTTTAAAATACTTAAATCTAAACTAGTTAATGGATTATTTTCATCTAAAACATTTCATGTCGTTGCTCAGGTGTACAGCAACACGCCGGAGACGATAAACCTCATCATTGAGGTGTTTGTGGAAGTGGCTCACAAGCAGATCTGTTACCTGGGAGAGGTGAGTGACTTCTTAACTAACCTCCACTGTTTTACCTGCTTTAAGAAAACTGAGAGGATAACAAGATGATGCACTTTAATCAGTTCAGGAACGTACCAGATCTGTCATGTATGAATCAAGGTCTGGTCACAGAAACCAGAACTTGTGTCTTCAGCTGTGTCGGTCTGAGATTCAAATTCAAAGGTTTCATTGCACATATGCACAAAGCTACAATGAAATGATTCTGACCTGAGCTCCTCCAACAATGCAACATGTATAATAAAATACAGTATTTCTTTAAGAGAAAATATATATATATATATATATATATTAGGGATGCCAGCGATTATTCGATTTTTCGAATATTCGTTACAGTCTCCATAATCGAAAANAGGATAAATGGGTATGTGGTATGTAATAGGGATACCAGCGATTATTAGATTTTTCGAATATTCGTTACAGTCTCCATAATCGAAAATTATTTTTTTTAATTTGATTTGATTTATATATTTTTTTATTATTATTTATGTTTTTCTCTTTTTTCCTGGCTTAGTTTCAACCAAAATATAGACTAATGCTAATAATAGTAATATTATTAATAATTGTAAATGGCCATTGGTCACATCACC